GGGGAAGAAGGGGTATTCATGGTAAAAACAATGTCTCATTTTTTGAGGGAAAAGGGAAAACTTTGAGGAACTCTCCTGGTTTGACAAAAACTCCTCAGATTTCGAGGAAGTCTTCTCTAAGAATGTGGGATTTTTCCTCATTTTTTGAGAATATTCCTCAAAATCTGAGGAGAGATCGGAGGACTCTTCCTCAAACATGGAAGTCCCTCAAAGTTTTCCCTTTTCCCTCAAAAAATGAGACATTGTTTTTACCGTGTTCCTCCCTGCAGTCCCGAGTGCGCACGAAAAGCGACATGTGCGAGTGAGACAGAGCTATGGCCGGCTCGAGCATCTCACTCGCACCTACCGCACTCGGACGCTCCCGAGACGGTGTACCGACCGACGCACCAGACGCCTGATGGGTAGACACGCCCGTTACACACGTGTGTCTGGCGGAACTGCCTACCTCAGGTCTGCCAGGCGATAGAGGCTGTCTGTCGGCAGGGGCTAAGGATTGTAATTGTTTAGCTGTGTCTTAACACATTGAGTGTGACATCTTTTGTGACTGTGTTTCAACATTAAAGCCTGACCAGACATGGTCATGCCGCATTCAATGTGTTTATGTTTCACCAGGTGAGAAAACTTATCTACTCCACGGCATGAGTCCCCCCCTTCCCCCTGGTTCAAAAACGTTCCACCGCGCCTGGGGGGTAGGCCGCTGCCGAACACGCGCGCACCGCCGTGCAGCTCCTCCGTGCAGCACGTCTCGGCAGGGTGCCGAAACCCCGGACTCGGGCGCCGTTCACCAAGGCAGAGAGGTCTCATAGCGCCTGATGGGTAGGCAAAATCTTACACGCAGTGCTTGCGTGTACTGCGGGCTGGCCTACCTTGAGTCTCGCAGGTGAATGATCGAGTGTATCTTAGAAATGGATGCACTTCGCCAAGCCAGAGTGGCTCGGGGCGCGGGTCCCTGCATAGGATTGGGCTGCACCACCCGCCGCCCTCGACCACCGCTCGTCGCCATCGCGCTCCGCCTTCGACGACCACCCTCGCGTGGCCTGCCGACGCCAGGGTTGGGGCTCGTCTCCACTACCCGCCAGCGGCCACCGCGGACTCTGCGACGGGCTCCTGCGACCGCTGCACCCTGACACTGGGCCTGGGCCCCTGGGTCGTTGGGTCGCGTCGCGTCAAAACTTGACGAAGCTGAAAGCTTTACTCTAATCCTACCTAAACCTAATAGCTCCTCCAACCCAGTGAGAAATGCTTCGTTATCGTTTTCTCGTCGATTTGCGGCTCCGTATTTGTCCGGGCCGGAAACGAGGGTGATAGAGGGCGAGCGAATGTCACTCGGGGATCTTTGTAATTAAATATCGAACTGCTAGAGGTCTCTCGCCAAGGTAAAGACGTAAACGTGAAAAACTCTGTTCACACAGGCATAAGGAGGAGGTACACGTACTTGATATGTTTTATAATGGAGAAGACAGTTTGAGAAATACTATAAAGTCTTCCGGACCCAAAATGGACGCAATTAAGTGCTCCTCAAATATTGTGAAACATTCAAACTCTTAAACGTTGAGTAACAAAAAACTTAGAAGTAAAAAGTAGAAGCAAGGAAAGATACACTTTTCTTTTCTCTCGCTGGGAAGGCTGAATCGCGTCTCTGCGGCGGTAGGGGAGGGAGCTGCGAGGCACTTTGAATTTCCGCGGTGCGTGCCGCCATCAGCGCCTTGTATCCTCGCCGGCCGGCGACGGCGCCCCCTCCCTCCTCCCTCCCCCCCTCCTTCAGCCCAGCTGGTATATGTATAAGTGCTGTTTATGTTGTGAAGTTGTGCAATCCCATCACTTCGCTGGGAGACATTGACAGATCTCGTCCATTTATCGCCGATTTTAGTTTAATATCAGAATTATTTATCGAAACGGTTGGTATTACTCCACGCACCAAATGTGTATTTGCGGTACTTTTCCTGATTGCCATTATGCCTTCTTTATTTTGGTTCGAATTCACCTTACCGGGTCCATATTCAATGGAGGAAGTATTTTTTCAAGTGATAATTTTTATTTAGTACCCTTCAATGCTTAAAGTTTCCCCTAGTGCCTTAAAGAGTGGGAAAACTCCTTCCTTCATGGCAACTTATATCTTATACCCAAGGCATTGAAAAATAGGATATCACGGTGAAGTCACTTGTGTAGACTAAATCGTGTGCTGGTCTTGCAGCGTATGTCAAATCCAATGTACACCAGTGTTATGGGTTTGGCTACGTAGGCTTAGCCGCAACTACTGCTGTGACAGTCATCTGGCCATTTCGGCAGGAAGGAGGAAAAAAAAATAAAGTGCATTAAGCACTTAGAACATTCTTTATTATTCTTGGGTGCAAGGTATTGTGGAATCACGTTTGACCTCCTTTTTTTTTTTTTGCAAGTACCAAAGCTGCCAATTTTTGCTCATATGTCAGTTTAAATGTCCACTCTTATGGCCACCGCAGGTATCCACACATAAACATGGCATCAGACTGTTCCTCCCTTGACTTGAGGTCCCCAGAGTCTCTTCGACGGCGACCTGGCGAGACTCGAGCCATCCTGCGAAACTTAATTCGGCGGGAGATCTCAGCTGCTCGCGTTGCCTTGGAGGCTGTCCAATGTGGCAAGCAGGTGTGTTTCTGGATGTGATCACTTCATTCAAAGACTCAAGTGTGGACTTGAGAGCCCTTTGCAGCAGCTGTTACATTCCCCTTATTTCTATCTACCTTTTTCACTGCTGCCATGTATTATGTGTTTTATTCTCCTCTTTATCACAGCTAGAGCAACATGTACCTTATGTGAACCATGCCGTCCACATACTTACAGCCCCAACTGGCCAAGTCCATCTGAGGGTCAACTGTTCCACAGCATCTGGAGAAGACAAGATACTGGATGCTGAAGTGTCCCTTGTTGAAGGAAGTTCCAAAGAGAAAGCCTCGATGGCACGTCTTGCTCTGTATCTCTTGGTAACCAGAGGTAGACTAAGTAAGGTGATTATAATTTGGACATATGTTTTGGATGTCATGATCATAAAAATAACAGTCCTACCAAAAGCATTGCAACATTAAATATTAGTTATCAATGTCTCATCCTGCAAATAATATTTTTACTGTCATTTTTTTAAAAGTGCTATTATTCATTTCAATATTGCTAGCACTAATACCCTCTCTCCTGCCCATCTAAGCTGAGCTAGATGCTTTGTTCCAACTTTAAAATGTTATTAATTTTACTGCAATTTATCATTTTTTGAATTGCTAGGGATTTGAGTTCCTAGAATCCTATACCCTCTTTCCATTAATAAACCAAGTACAAATTTAAATTTGAATTCTTTTAATCCTGGCATAGAATTTGTGGAATTTTGCAGGTTGTTAAAAAAAACAATTCAGAAAATCTTTCTGTTGGGCCTTTTCTGTTGACTTCAGAACCATTTGAAATGAAAAGAGAAAAAATTGAGTTTTTGGAAAATAATGAGATCTTTAAGGTTTGTTTAAAGTACTTCTATGTTGATTTGCAAAAGTACTTAAATGTCTTGTACAGTCAAATACTCATGTTGACTGCTCTACTGTGCCAAATCTGGTGATATGTATTTATTTTCCTAATTTCAGGCCAGTGCTGTGGAAAGGCTAGGTTGTGGTACTGATAAAGAATGGTCAGCACGTGTTCTACAAGTTGTTGCCCCTCGCTTGGAGAAGATCAATGTCAACAGTGTTGGCATTGCACACTTGCAGATTCTTGCATTAATGTCAAGGCTAGTTATGAGTAATTTTGATAGCTGATCTATACCAACGTAATTTATGTACTGTGCTAGTAACATCAGCTACAAATATTGTGGTTTAGTTCTTATGTTAATTCTTTTTCAGACTCCGACAGATCAAGTATACGGGTGTTAATGATGATTTTGCGTGGGATGACCTTACTCCATTTGATTGGAATGATGAAGGCCGATCAAATTTAGAGAGCAATGACCCTCAAGACACCACTAGGCCATTTTGGCTCACAGACTTACCAAAAGATTCAAGTGCTGGCTTGGTGTCTATCTGGGTAATTTATTTTCTCATCCAGAATTCACAATGCTACTTTCATCCAATGAATGTTTGGGAATTTTAAAAATAACTGCAGGTGTTTAATAATAGCTAATTTAAAATAGGAAATCGGGCACAGAGAAGCAAGTGACTCCTATGATTTTATCACTATTTTTATTTAAATTACAGGCTGATTTACCCCGACAATTGCTGCTTCCCCTGATAGTTCAGCACCGGCATACATTGCGTGAGCTGACCGTGGTTGCAGGATTACACAACTCTGGAGAAGACACTGTAAGCCAAGTAATCTAGTGCAACACAGTTACGGAGCACCGTTCGGACATTCACTACTTGTCCTCCTCCCCCCCTTCTTTTGCTGCCCCTTGATGTCTAATAGAGCCAATCCAATCTAATTACTGCAGTTTCCAATTTCAACAACCACCCTGTCATCTAGTTTACTTAAAAGCTTGCGTGAATTTTAATTCTGTTTTCGTGGTGCGGTTGCAGTACGATTGGGAGAGACACTGGAGTCGGTACTGCGACGACCTGCCTCTCCGGCTGGCCGAGCTACTGGAGCGCTTCCCCCTGCCGGCGCTGAGGCTCGTCAAGCTGTGCCGGGAAATCAGCCATAGCGAAGAGGAGCACGCCCTCTGCGACAAGCAGCTGCGCGCCGTGAGGAGGGTCCTCGGCCCCAGGGTGACAGTGTTCTGCACCAACTGCGGCTGAGCCTCGGCCTGAGCCGTGTGTGGGACAATGAGGGCTGCAGCTGCTTGGCGGGTTTGCCTACCCAGCGTCTTGGAGTCTCTATCCGCCACAACCACAGTCCAGTCTACTCTTTTTCACAAAGTGAGTAAATGGCATTGTGTGTTACAAAAATTGTGATATTTTTTGTTGCAACCAAAAACAAAAAAATAAAATTCGATATTTAACCAAAAAAAAAAAAAAAAGGTTTGTATGTATTTGATCTTTAGGTCTTAACACATACAGACACACACTAAGCGTGAGTGAGTTAAACATCATTCGACATCATTATCATATTTTTATAAAGTGGAAAGACTAGAATCTGGCTTATAATGCAAGATTAAACTTTTAATAATGGATAAATCACATTCATGACTAGAAATATTACAATATATGTATCTAAAGAGCACTCTAGCAGCATTCTAATGAACTTTCCCTACATCATATATTTTGGGATAATATATAATGGCAACACATTTCATAAAAAAGTAAACATTCATTTATGATTAGTTCACTAAATTTCTACACCTGATTACAAAAGACTAGTATGTAGTATAAAATCTTAGTGGTTGATTTTCCAGTTAGGCACTGGCTAATCCTTGATAAGCTGGAATCAATAATCAAATCAAAATATGTACATTTGACCAAAAACTACAGCCTTAAAATTTTAGTACATACTTGCTTTCAGCCAAAAAAGTCTAACAATAAGTATGCACTTCATGTTAACATGTAAACATTAAAGGCACTAACACTGAATTGTAAAAACCAAAATACTGAAATGGCCTCCCAATTAACAAGGTTTTCTCAGTGTTTTGATTTCCTCAGACTATGGAAAAACGTTGTAACATACAAACAAAAGCGAGGATGAATTCAGTTATGAGTCAGCAAACTTTCCACAGTAAAAACATTTGATAGTTATTGTTATCTTAGATTAAACAATTTAAAAAAACATACAGTATACCATGGAATTGAGACATTCACCTAAGCTAATAACAGCCATAATATTGATCTTTCCAAGTTTACGAAGAACGTGGATCAAAGTTTGATTAAGAAAGTAGTATTGGAGTTACTCCTGCTAACAAGAATCTTCCTGGGTTAAAACTCTCAGACAGGAGTTTCCTTTTCCTGGAAGACTTCCTGTGATAGACACAGGAGTAACTCCTCATGTCAGTCCCTCTCACATCTGATGATCCCAGGAGAAGACCCATGAGAATTTATCTGCGCTACAAGAAGTGCTTCAACTTCTTCAGGATAGTCACGCTGGAGTTCTTTCCAAGAAGGATCTTGAAAGTAGGGTTGCTTTAATGCGACAAGACGTTCAAAAGCAAACTTTCTCAAAAAGTCAGCCTTTGTATCAAGAGCAAGTTTAAAGTACTCCAAAGTATGATCCCGTATGTGCCATGCCAGAGCAACTTCACAAGCCTCTTTTAAAGTGATCATTCTGTACATCGTTGCCATAGAAAGAAGCTCTGCTGCATATTCAGGGGTCACCCATCCATCATCCCTGTACAAGGAATCCATCAATGCCGATTCACACATTATTTTGAGCAAAACTAGATCATATCGCTCAGCTAACTCAACTACCTCCTGAACCATATCTACATCATCTAGATTAGCAGCCCCTGTGTGCATAAAGCGTAGAGCCTCAGTTATTGCCTCAAGGCTTACATCAGGCATAACTATCCTGTTATCACGCTTTTCAACAGTGTCATGCATGAACATTGCTCTGAACACAGGAGAGCAAGCCATCAAAACAGCTTTGCGAGCTCCAATTGTCCTACCGTCCTTCATTTCCAAGACTAAATCTGATTGCTCTAGTGCCTCCAGCAAACTTTCGTCAACATGAGATGCTTCATGAATGTCTTGAGCAAAGGACAAGAAGTTCATCGGTGGCCTAAAAGAGTAAAGAATCATCTTGTGTTGCATATTTTTGTCATTCAAAACAGTAAAGCTTACAACTACTGTAAGCTGTGAACGAACTCCGCCAAATTTCACTCTTATCATTCTGTACCGCATTCGAGTAGAAGTAACCTGGAAAAGGGATTCAAAGATGAAAGACTTTTAAAAATAATTATAAGACCAGGCCAGTTAATAGTCCCCCCTTGCCAGATATGGAATCAATAGAGTTCTAGTACAGGATGTGAAGAAACTATAATTGCGTACCCTGTGTACAGTAAATGAAGTTGTTTCAGGGAGAAGAAATTTAGCCATTGTTGGCTGACCAGGTCCAAGGATCTTTCTGTACACCTTGCATTCATTGGCACATATTATGAAAGGAGGACTTAAAGGTTCTGGGTTAGCATCAGTGAATATATTCCTGTCTTTTTCTACCATTATGCTTATGGTAGCAGCTTGATTTTCAACATCGGAAGTCACTTGCCACCAATAATCATCCACACTGTTTGGGTGTTTAAACCACTGTGACTTCTTAACACAATTCCCTCCGCAGCTTGTCACAAATGACATGGCATGAGTCACCGTCAACATGGCTGGTGTCTCTGTGCCCGTGGCTTTTTCCATTTCAAACTGCATTGAGGAAAAAAAAATCAGAATACAAGCAAGGTAAGAAATCAATGGTCACGATTTAAAAGAAATCATTCTCCCTACTTTCAGATTTAATACTTACAAATGGATCAGACTTGTGCTACTACAAACACAATCTTGGAGGCAGTCACAAATGTTCACTGCATTTTTGCCAAATCTAAAACAGAGAAAAATAACAAAACTAATTTGCAACAGCACTTTGAACTAAAACCAGAGAGAAAGGAGATAAGTACAAGCCTTAATATATTGCCATTATGTTGACATTTGACTCCAAATGGTACAGCACAATGATGACATGACAGGAACAATAAGGAATTGGATGATCAATTTCTTTACTTTGTCAGTTTCATGAGAAACAGAGATATACTATGAAAAATATTGGTTTAAACTACCAAAATTGAGATGTAGATGGCAAAGAGCCATTGAGATGGCTTTGTTGAAACAAGCACTATTCCCCACAGAATAGTATAAACACGTAAACAGGCTTCCCGGTACGTGACATACCATCAACATCCATTAGTCAGAGTGCCAAAGGTGACAAGAAAACGAGTTCGTTTAAGAAATAAGAGGGAAGGTGCCCAGAGGAGTACTAGTCTGCATGCAACTTCAGTGCTTCTTATCAAAAGCGAACCACACAAACAAAGCCTGACAGTTCACTCACCTTTCGTCATCGCACAAACACAACAAGACCGTCTCACCAACACAAACAAGCAGAAAGCAGACGAGACCAATTTCTCATTTCTCATGTCGCGGGTCGCGGGAGCGGGAGCGCTCGGGAGAAATAGTGTAGTGCTGGCGCTGGCCGCGTGCCGCGTGAGCATGGCGCTAGTGTCGCTCGAGGGAAGTACAGCCGTGCACGTTTGGCTGCCTACCCGCGCGGCGCGAAGCTCGTTAGCTGCATCGCTGAAATGTTCTCCTATGGGCTGCGGCAAGAGATATCTCACCCTTCACCCTTCACATCTTTGCCAGCTCCTCACAACCCACTTTCCGACCACCTTTCGACCTCCCCCTATAAACGCTGAAAGTGAGTCCTTCACGTACGTTACCTCCCACCCCGCTTGCCCCCACAGTCTTCGCTCAGATCTTTTCTTCCGTTCAAATGATTCTTGGAGCCACAGGAATGGACTCAATATTTTCTCAGGAATAGTTTCTCAGCCTCTTAAAATATGGACCCTCATAGGTTCGAATGCCCCGCGCAAACCGTGCGACACGCGGGCGGGGGGATGTGGAGGGTAGGTAGTGGGGGAACCTCACTTTCAGTGTCACTATACTACTGCCCCCCCCCCCCCTCAATAATCCTTGTCCGGTCTCTGCTCGCCCACTGCACTGGTACTAATTAATTACACGTAGCAAGGTCCGGGTTCCGACTGCCTCCTCTCCCGTCCC